TTAGCCGACGAATCGTATGATCACGGAAACACCATTGAGAAAATGTTAGAGATTTGAAATGTTTTGAGCATCATCAGTTGGTTCAAGATCGCAGATGGTTTGCCATGCTTAGCCCCAAACAGCCAATTATTCCGTGCATTGAATTTGAATAACGCTAAAGGAATAATAGTAGCAGTATGCAGATCATAAACAAAGTTGCTTGTATGCCGATATGTCAGATAACAAATGACTCCTCCTAAGCCACATTTGGACGCGTAATGCGCCAGCCCGTTGCTCGTAGATGCCTGGTGAGGGACATTTCAGCCGCCCATGGCTCAATCGTACTGGAAAATCTGCATTATCAGATGCTTCTCATCATTTTGTCAGCTAAAATCATCGCCCACTTCGCCTTCGTCAGGAACCATGTTTCGTTTCGACGTTGCTGAAACGTCGTTCGTTATGAGCTCGAGGTGCGACGTGGCCCTAATGGACAAAGCGATGCGAAGTGTATCTGGCACTGTGGATGCTCCTATACAGTGGAACCGTGGCCTGCTAAAGCGCCCCCTCCCCTGTTCACCCTAGGCAACCAGGCGCAAGACGGGGTGTAATAAGCCGTGAAATCTGGTTTTGGAAGAATTATTCGCTATTAAGTATATAATTGGTATAAGACATTACACAGTTATCGTACTAATAGAAGTAATAACAATGACAGTAGAAACGCTATAGTGATAACGATATCAGTGTACATGTAATCAGTAATGGTATCTCGGTTGCTGCGCGTATTTTATGATTTTGATTTTCTCTTGTTGTGTATTTTACGTCTGCATCTGCACACATTAAGGTTTTAACGTTTCCTTGATAGTACCTTGCATGTTTGATTTTTGACTTCCATTGGAGTTTCATTTTCCGTTCGCACAGAGCAGCAAGCAGCAGAGTTTCACTTCATCTTACAGCAGTCGGCAATTCTTGGAACTTTGCTTTTTCTGGCAGAGCCTACAGTTGCAAAAAGTGATTGAACTCCAGAAAGGTAAACGATGAAAATCCGGACGTTCTAATATCCTTCTTGAATGCAAACGCGCTGATTTTTTGGCTGGCAATTAATCATAGTGTGAAAAACGAGGGTTATATATTTGAGTGCAGGATCGCCTTGGAGGTTTGGATCGTAACTCAGCGACTGGTTTAAGGAAATGTTGGGCGTCTGTTGCATTTTTATCTGATACGAAAACTTCGCCGCCTAGTTAGTGCTTTACAACTGCCTACCAAGCTTGAAGAATGCCCCACTGTGCGCTCGTTCTTTCGGGTACCAATTTTACCTTCTTGCGGAGAGCATATCGTAAAACGGATGGATTTCATATTTCTTGTTGGATAACTCCTCATGTGCACGAACCTCGAGTCGCCTGACTCGAATCATCAGTGTTCTTTACGTTGAAGTCCATACACTGAGGAATCTCGAGAGAAAGTTAGGTCCTTTGTACTGTAATTTTTGTATCTGCAACGAAATTCAGCTAATTAAGTAGTAGTAGAGGTTGCGAATTTACTTGAATGTGCTATGAAGCACGGAATTTTTAGCAACGATCATTAATATAAACGATATGATTACGCGTACAATTTCAAAGGTCAATTTTGTAATTCTTTCACTTCAAGGGGTCGATCCTATTCCGGTAGTGGTGTTCCTTTCGAATTCGCATATTTCTCTGTTTTGGTCGATTTTTCATAGAATGATGAAAGGAATTAGTGACAGCCTGAAAGCTTCAATCGTAAATTTGTCGCTAGTTCCTCGGCGGATAGGGGTACAAGTCGCTACGTCGGTGTGAAGCGGATTCTCGCTGTCGTCGAAGATGCTATCACGGAGTTTCAGGTCATTCGTTACTACTGAATTTGCCAACTGCTTTGTAAGGAAGTGTACATAATAGAATTTTAATTTCAAATAGTACCGGAGACAAAATCAAAAAAAACGACTGAAACTTTCAGTCGTAAAAGTAACCTCAAAACAAACAAGCGAATACTCGCAAAAAAACTGGTAACCACAGGTTGCCAACAGCAAAGAAAAATAAACGTCGACATTTAGTCGAAATTAACTGAAACACAAATTTGAAAGAAACACCCACACCTGTTCGCTTCGTCGTTGGTCGTGAGCAAAAATGCAGATCTATTTCTTTAATGCATTGCTCGTACTGCCTGACATGGTCACTTTCGATCCGTTGTTCGATACGTCACTTGTGTCCATTTTGTCGTCGTTCACCTCGGATATCGCCATCGGCTCTGGAGTGTCACCATCACGACGTTCCATCGTTAAGAAGGCATAAGAACGAACGCACGCGCTGCCATGCTGTCTGTTAATGGATGGCGATATTATCAATTATCACTCAAAACGAAGCAAAGGAAAATATGTTAGTGTGAGCAAATAAGCAAAGCACGATACACCTACAACTGCCTGAATATGCAGATGTTCATATTTGTCAGTTAGTTGGCGAAACCGTACACGTCTTCGTATGTATTTCGCACTGTTTCATCGATGCTGTGGTTAGAGTAGGGAATGAACGAAGGGATTGCATTGTTTCCAGAGGAACTTCGTCCTGCAGATCAATTGAAGTAGACGTGGAGCAACGTCGATGCGGCGTAGCCTCGCAGGCGAACGTAATACTGACGAAAGCAATTCTAACACTCCCGCGTTAAGGTCTTGCGTAATGATCGTTTTCGTTTGCTTCGATTAGCTGACAAGAATCCGACA